TACAAACTATAGTAGCATTTACTTAATCATTCTGTGTTTGTTTTTATCAAGCTAGTATACAAACTATAGTAACATTTACTTAATCATTCTTTCTTGTTAACTCTTAATAAAGTGATCTGCACCAAGTATGCCAGCTTTCACGATTTCTTTCAAATAACATTTCATACATTTTACTTTATTCAACCATCTACCCCAAATTAGAAACCTGGTCATAAATCCTGCAAAGAACATAACATTTAAAATTGAAGAGACTATTTTGAAAAACTCAGCGAAGAATCTCAGATTGTACATGGCGTTCACAGCTTCCTGGCTAAACATTGTGTGATAAATGTACAGGTTTTAATGAAAATATAATTTCTGGCTGAGTCTTTGGAAGAATGATGAACTTCCTTGCATTGTGCAATGGAGCAATTTTATTAAAGGCTATCCTTTGATCTTAATTGGAAACTGCAGAAAGATTAGCTCAGAATAATTAAAGTAATTTCCTTAAACCTGAAGTGTCTAGATAGCATAAACCATAACTAAAATACAGGCAGTCTTTGACTTATGAAACATAATTGAGCCCAATATTTCTGTTGCTAAATGAAGCATTTGTTGTTTTTTATTATTTTTATTAAAAAAGTTTTTTTTATTTTTAACAACAAACATAGACAAATACAAACATAAAACAACAAAATAAAACCATCTTTCAATTGTACAGTGTGTTGGTTAGTACATAATTCTTGTGCACAATAGATATAGCCTTTTCCCCTTGAATTTAAATTTATATCCATATTACGTTAATCAACTTTCCATGTCATATTATATTATTACACCATCATTAGATCTTAGTTTCGAGTCCACATTATCCTTAAGAGCAAATCTCAGTTCTTACCAATTTTAATTCATATTAAAAGTCATTCTATAATAATCAATTATAACATATCATTACTGTTAAATTGTACTTCAGTTTTCCACTCTTCTATCTAACCATTGGTAAAATAAATCCCATATCTTAAAATATTCTTTTCCTTCTTGCTCTCTAACTGCTAATGTTAATCTATTCATTTCTGCACATTCCATTATTTTCTTAATCGCCTCTTCCTCTTATCGGAATTTTCTCCTTTTTCCAATTTTGAGCAAAGACAATTCTAGCTGCCGTTAAAACATTTAATAACCAAGTATGAAGCATTTGTTAAGTGAGTTTTGTTCCATCTTTCTTACCACCGTTGTTCAGTCAATTACTGCAACGGTTAAGTTAGAAACACAGTTTTTAAGTGAATCTGGTTTCCACATTTGACTTTGCTGGGGGGCTTCAAAAATTTTAGCAAGGGGTTCACTGCCCAGTTGTTGGGTGGGCCTGGCCATGGTGGGTGTGGCGTTTTTGCCCTCCCCGGGCTCCGGAGGCTTTCCTTGAGCCTCCAGGAGGGTGAAAACGGCCTCCCTGGGCTCCAGAGGTTCTCTGGAAGCCGTAAACAGGCCCATTTCCCAGGTTGTTGGAATTAGGAGGGATTCTGAAAATTTGGGGGGGAACCCCTGAAAGAAGTCTATTTGGTTTAAAGCAGGGGTGTCAAACTGGATTTCTTTGAGGGCCAGATCAACATTGTAGTTCTCCTCTGCGGGCCGCTGGCAATGGAGGGGTGCGGGATGGCGGACAGATGCCTCCTGCAGCACCCTGCCGGCCAAAATGGGGCATGGGGGGGATCTGCGTGCGGCCCCTGTGAGCCTTGTTTTTGCCCTTTATGGCCTCCTACAGCACTCTGCTGGCAAAAAGGGTCCCTGTGGCCCATTTTCAGCCCATTTTGGGCCCATATTTTTGTTTTGGCCCATTTTTCAGTTGTTTTCAGCTAGTTTTCAGCCTGTTTTGGAGCCCATTTTGAGCCCGGTTTTCAGCCCGTTTTTCAGTTGTCTGGGGCCTCTTTACTTCTATTTTTGTTTTGGGCCTGTTTTTTGGCCTGTTTTAGGCCTGTTTTCATCCTGTTTGGGGGGCCATTTTGAGCCTAGTTTTCGGCCTGTTTTTCAGTTGTTTGGGGCCTGTTTTTC